GGCCAAGGGAGGCCCATGGAGTCACAGAGACAGGTGACAAGGGGTCCTTTTTGTCCTGCTCTAGGGTAAAAACGCGTCTCCGTAAGACCGGAGTCATCACTTCCATGAAACCCTGCGGAATGTCTCACCTGAATATTATTAAGGAAACAGCAGCCCTGTTCTGAATGAAATCAACACATTAAAGAACTTTGAACATATCAGACTTGGGATTTGGGCTTCTGCTATTTTGGTGACTTATGACCAGGGCCGGATTGAGGTTTGATGAGGCCCTCAGCTTCTGAAGGCAATGGGGCCCTTTATATGTCCAGCTGTCCTTCGTCAACTACAAGTTGTCACAATTTTTTGTGTTGAATATATGCTATATGGTAATTTATGGACCTAATAGGCATCTCAAGCATTACATTACATTACATTACATTACATTACAAAATATGTATTTTATCAAAGTAATTGTTGAACTGAAATACAACTAAAAAGTATATTACCTGTAATAGTGAAATACTATTAAGAAGTATATTAATAGTGAAATAATTATTAAGCTCTAACTTAAAATGATTGGGGGCCCATTACTTACATCATCGGAGCCTGTTGTTGTTTAGTCTCCGACTTTTCATGACCCCCTGGACCAGAGCACGCCAGGCCCTCCTGTCTTCCACTGCCTCCCTCATGCCGGTAGCTTCAAGAACACTGTCCCACCATCTCGTCCTCTGTCATCTCCTTCTCCTTGGGCCCTCCATCTTTCCCAACATCAGAGTCTTCTCCAGGGAGTCTTCTCTTCTCATGAGGTGGCCAAAGTCTTGGAGCCTCAGCTTCAGGATCTGTCCTTCCAGTGAGCACTCAGGGCTGGTTTCCTTCAGAATGGAGAGGTTGGATCTTCTTGCAGTCCATGGGACTCTCCAGAGTCTCCTCCAGCACCAGAATTCAAAAACCTCCAACTCCATAATTCAAAACATAATTTATAATTCACAGGAGCCTACACAACACAAAATACTGTTGCTGTATGTAGGTTTTATTTTATTTGCTTTTTATCTTATATTTTGGAAATGTTTTCCCCCCTTTAATTTTTTTAGGGGCCCCCAAGAGAGTGGGGCCCTAAGCTATAGCTTGTTTAGCTTATACGTAAATCCGGCACTGCTTATGATAGAATCTCTCTCTCACACACATGCCCAGGGCTGGGGCAGACCATAACTCAGAGGCAGAGGGCCTGCTAAAGACTCAGCTTAAGGAGGAGGCCTCCATCACTTGCGCAGAGGCAGCAGGCAAAGGGCATCCTGCCCCCTTGCTCTTTTCAGGTGGGATTCAATCACATCCAGGTAAACTCAGGTTGAGCAGTTAAAGTTGCCTTGCAGCCCTTAAGAACACAAGCAGAGCTTGGCTGCTGCTGGGTCAGGCCCAAGGAGACCCCATCAGGTTCAGCATCTCATTCTCACCGTGGCCAAAGAACCTTAAGAATCCAGGACTCTAGATAGACTGCCTCTGGACCTGGACGTTCCATAGGGAGAGCCTGGCTACTGGATCAGGCCCAAGGGGGGCCCTTCTAGTTCAGTGAAAGAACCAAAAGTGATGTCCTCTCCCCTCCACACCATTCATTGCCAACGCTCTTTTAATGTCAACTTTTCTCCGCCCCAATGACACTACAAATGAACGTAATGGTCAGCGGTCTGGACATATTTTGCTGCAGCCACAGAACAAGGTCTGTGGTTTTAAAAAGAAGCCATTTGAATCTTGGGGGATTTTGCTTCTATTCTCTATTCTGCAACCCCCCCCCCCTTGACAACGTTTACATTAAAAATGCATGTGAAACATTGGCAGTCTATTAATACCAAGCCTTGTAAAAGCCTTTTATGCCCTTAATCTTGTGGTGTGACAGCGAGGCGCACAGAGGATCTGAAAGATCCCCCCGAGATCTATTTCCTGAGGAGAGGGGGCTCTGGATTCCACCCTCTTTTTAAAAAAACAAAAGAGTTTAACTTGGGAGACATAGTTTGTGCTGTTTGCCTAGTGAAAAGGCACCACCTGGCAAAAGATTCTTATACCAAACTAATTTGCAGGGCTTTGGACGAGGCGCAGGGCTTCTCCACCGTCCACCTTCCTAATGCCAAAAGGTTGGTGGGGAAGGGGTTAGCAACATAACCCAACAGGCAAAAAATTGGACAAAAGTCCAAAGCCCTAAGAAGCCTCCGTTAGCTAGCATCATTTCCACACTTGCCTCTGAAATAGAACCATCTTTGCTGTGACTTTTCTGCAGGAAAGCTGCTAGAGAAACGTGGTCCTTCCTCTCTCTTAGCCCCAGAACCTGAGGGTGTCTGAGGAGGCGGGACGTGGGAACATTCAGGACGGGCAAAAGGAAGTCCTTCTTCACGCACCACAAATTGAAACTATGGAACTCACATCTGCAGGAGACCACCAACCTGCGTGGCTTTTAAAGAGGACTGGACAAACCCACGGAGGGGGAGTGGCTATGAGTCTTGAAAGGTTAGGGGTGTGTGTGTGTGTGTGTGTGTGTTTTAACATATCATTTTCAACAGTAATTAAACATACTTTTACATCTTATTCAATCTTTCTTACTTCCATCAATCCTGTCTGAAAATTTTCCAATTAATCTCTTAGTATGCATTTCTTATCTTCCCTATTACATTTCAAACTCATAACCAATATCTCTACCTATTTCTACTTTGTAACACTTCGTATATTTCTCCTTACAAAACTTCTTGTAGTCCTACTAGCGTAACTTGTTGATTACAATTGCTCTTCAAATAATTCGTATACTTCTTCCAATCTTCTCTGAATCTCTGGTCCCGCAGGTTTCGAATCCTTCCTGTCATTTTGTCCAATTCTGCACAGGCCATTAATTTCGTCTGCCATTCTTCTTTCGTCTTGAAAGGTTCTTGAGGATCCCTCTGTGGATGGAAACTTGCCGCTTGATCTCAGGAAGTGCAAGTGTAAGAGCTGATCTCATCTCCGTCTCATGGCCAGCCACAGGGCGATGTGCGCAGGGAAACAGTGGGAGGAAAGTGTTGCAGCTTGCTCAGATCTCGAGTTCCTCCTTTCTTTCTCAAGTCACACTGAGAAGGTTTCCTGGCAGCACGCAAGGCAAGAACTTAACATGGGAAAGGTCCCACCCACCCCGGCCCACGCAACTGCATCAGCTGATGGGAGAGGGAAATTGTTGTTGTTGAGTCGTTTAGTGGTGTCCGCCTCTTCCTGACCCCCTGGACCAGAGCACACCAGGCACTCCTGTCCTCCACTGCCTCCCTCATGCTGGTCTCTCCAAGAACACTGTCCCACCATCTCGTCCTCCCTCGTCCCCTTCTCCTTGTGCCCTCCATCTTTCCCAACATCAGGGTCTTTTCCAGGGAGTCTTCTCTTCTCATGAGGTGGCCAAAGTCTTGGAGCCTCAGCTTCAGGATCTGTCCTTCCAGTGAGCACTCAGGGCTGATTTCCTTCAGAGTGGATAGGTTTGATATTCTTGCAGTCCATGGGACTCTCCAGAGTCTCCTCCAGCACCAGAATTCAAAAGCATCAATTCTTCGGCGATCAGCCTTCTTGATGGTCCAGCTCTCACTTCCATATATCACTACTGGGAAAACCAGAGCTTTAACTATACGGACCTTTGTTGGCAAGGTGATGTCTTTGCTAGCTTCCTCCAAACCCAGCTGGTGGATTTTGAGCAAGCAAATGGCAGCCAAAATGAAACTTTCCCCAAGCATTTGGGGGTCACATGTACCCTTGTCCAAAGATGGGGAATATCTGTGGCCCTCCGAATGTTGCCGGACTCCCAACTCCTACCATATTTGACCATCCTGAAGCTGCTGGGAGGTGGGATTCCAACAGTATCAAAAGATTCATAGGTGTCCCAGCCCTACACATTCACTCAATGAAACCTTTATTGAATATCCAGCAAATAAATTGTATTTGACGCCTAATGGCATTTTAGTTCAATACTGAATAATACTGCAGTGAGGCCATGCCATGTTATTCTTGAAAGTTAACATGCAACAACATTCAGCCACCTGGCTGTGTTTGACAGCTGGCATGCAATGGTATTTAGTATTTATTTATTCTACAATTCTCTTTCCTTATTTCTTAACAGCATGTTTAGGCTGGTGTGAAATAGTATTTGGTATTTTGAACTATATTTATCTACAGCACTCATTTGATGCCTAAACGCAATGTGCTCTTTGGATGCCCAGCAACAAAACATTAAAAATACAATAGCTGCCCTGGAACAATGGAAAACAGTAAAGGAAGCCCTGCATGAAAAATTTAGCAGCAGGGAGCGGAGAACCATAGAAGATGCAAAGAGGTGGCTAAAAGCACAGAACAGATCTGAGATCAGGTGGATTTAAAAGTCTCTCAGGAGGCTGGGCATCTTCACCTGGAGTCCTAAAGCCGCTGGATCAGGCCCAAGAGGCGGTGGTCCTGGTGCTAATCTACTCAAGCACCTTGATAACGACCAGCTCTTCAGGCCTGACACCAGCAACAATCAGAGCAGATACCAAGTGGTTTAAATGCAGACTCCAAAAACCAGGTAGCATGTCGGGTTCGGAAGGACTTGTTCCAGCCACTTTTGCCAAAGTTGGGTTTCTCTTGGCGACGCTGAGCGAGATGCACCCCCAGGGTCTGACTCGGTATATGGCTGCATCCGACCACTCTGTCCCAGCAGAGGACAAAGGGGCCGCCATCCGAAAGGACCAGCGTCTTCCCTAATTGTTTAGGGCTATTTTTGGTGTGTTTTTTAAAGATGGGGCGGCGGGAGGTGATGCCCGCTGCTGCCCTCCTTTCTCCCGGCCAGGCTGGGGCGGCTGCCCGTCTCCTGAACCCCTCCAAAGAGCCCTTTCGTCTCCGGGGGTCGTTTGGCGAGACGCGCGCTCCGGAGCGTCACGTGTGAAAGGGGCTGGTTTCGGGTTCCTGCTTTGCCAAGCCTCGCGCATCAGCACAAAAAGCCCGCCCGCCCGCCAGCCTCCTCCTCCTCCTCCTCCTCTCGGCGGCTCCCCCCGCTGACATCACTCGGCGCGGAGGAGGGCAGAGCGGGAGGAGGGTGGGGTGACCCGGAGAGCCGCCCAGCGCGAAAGGAGAAGCCTCGCCGCCGCCGCCGCCGCCACCGCGCACAGACAGACGCTCGTCCGCCGCTGCCGCTGCCGTTGCGCCCGGCTCGAGGGGCGCGTCCCGTCCAGGGAGGGCAGGAGGACGAGGTCGCCGCCGTAACCAGCCGTGCCCAGGGGGACGCATCCTGCTCCGGCGCTTCCTGCCGCCGGTAAGTCCAGCGCCTCTCCGCCGGCTCAGCCATCCCTCGCCATGGGAGAGAGAAAGAGAGAAAGCTCTCCAAAGGGGCGCAGCCGCCGCTCCGTGCGCTCTGCACATGGCCAGAGGCGCGCCCGTGCCCGCCCGACCGCTGGGGGACTGAGCGACCAAAGTCGGGGCGGTGGGGCTGATGGAGGGCTGGGGCGATGGGGAGTCGGTGGCGACGATGGGGACGCAAAGAGCCGCGTTTCCGGGGCGCGCCCAAGGCGGGGAGCCCCCTTCGCCTCCCGGCTCTCCTTCGCCCGCTGAGGGTGACTCAAACCCAGATCCCGGGCTGAATCACTGCCGCTTCCTCTTTGGACTGCTGCCCTGGCAGATTTCTGGACAGAGCTCAGCAGCAGTCGCCTGACTCGGACCAGAGAAGCTCAGGACTCTCCACACTGGCAGGCAGCAGCGGCAGCGGCTCTCCAGGGTCTCAGGGCAGGGAGATGTCGATGGAAGGAGGACATTGGGGATTTGAACCCGGGACCTTCTGCATGCAAAGCAGATGTTCTGCCCGGACTCGGTGCCCACCCTGCCGGCCGCATTTGCTCTCCGGGCTCCCAGGCCATTGCCAGCCCCTTCTCCCCTTCTGGCCCCCTCTCCCCGTTAATAAAAAAAGCCCAAAGTGAACCATATTGTGCAGGCAAAACTCTAAAAGTGCCAACCGCCTTGAGAGCCAGCCAGAGCCCAACGGGGCATTGTCCCTGCTGCCTAGTCTAACTCTTTAGCTCTTTCTCGCCCCCCCCCATTTCCCCCTCCCCCTGCAACTTAACTCTGCCCCTGGTCAACCCGACTTGATGCCATCTGCCCAAGGCGCTCCAAATTGAGAGGAACCAGGCACAGGGCAGGGCTCCTCCCAGTTTGCCACTTCCTCCTCAAATCTAGGAAACATAGGTAGCCGCTTTCTAGTGAATCGGGCCATTGGGTCCACCTGGCTCAGTGCTTCCTACACGGGCTGGCAGCCCTGGCTCGGCAGCCCTAGCTGGAGATGCCAGTGGGGATTGAGCCTGGCATGGTCTGCAAGCAGAGCAGAGGCTCTGCCAGGGAGCCATGGTAGACCTTCTCTGCTCTAGAGAAGGCCCAAGAACAGCAGCGATTCCTGCAGTGCAGGGGGTTGGACTAGATGACCCCTGGGTCCCTTCCAGCTCTACAGTTCTATGGCAGGCTAAACAGAGCCCTGGAAGAAAACTTCGGGAAAACAGGAATGAGCCACCAGCGCTCTCAGCTGCGTGCAGATATGAACTTGGGAGTTTCTGGTACCTAAACTCTGGTGATAAATGACCAAGCAGAGTCCTTCTGTAAAGGGGACCAGCCTGGATATGGCTGTGGAGTGTGGGATGTGGGAGAGACCTGGGTTCAAATCCCCCGCACTTAGCCTAGCCTACCTTCTGGGGTTGTTGTGAGGGTGGTGCTCTGGAGAAAGCACCTTGAGCTCTTGGAGAACAGGCAGGATATAAATGCAGTCAGTCCTAGCCAAGAGAGAACGTGAAGCAGATCAGATGGCCACCCCTCACTCACTGGGTTCAGAGTATTCAAGGGACTAGTCCTCAAGCTGTTCATTCAGATCAAGCTTCAGTTCTTTCCCTGGCACAGCATTCCTTCCACCACCACCGCTCCTCCTCCTCCCCACCCTGAGCATCTCTTTGCCTTCTGAGGTACCCACTGAACATGAAAAAGCCTTTGTCTTTTTGGCATCCTGTTGCGGACAGCCCTGAGGTGGGACTGTTCTTTATCTAACCAACTTTTCATTTATCTTATGTTCATTTTCTGTTTTAGCTGCAATTGTGTGTGTGTGTGTGTGTGTGTGTGTGTGTGTGTCAGTGTCCTGGTGTCCTGCTGATTTGCAGATTTGTTGCCTCCTTTTCGATGCTTAGTTGATATTGATTGACAGGGACGGTGGTTCCTGCTTTGCTGGAGTTTTGCTGTGGCGCTGCAAACTGTCTTTGGATACTTTTGCATCTCGGGGAGTCGGCCCTTTTGGGTCCTGCCAACCCCACAATTCTAGGATTCTGGGATGACGCCTCGTGCCTCGGAGTGGGGAAGGCAGCCACCCAAATGTGCTCTCCACACAGACGGAATAAATAAATCATGTTGGGTAAATGCACCCTGCTCCAGCTGAAATGGGCTCCTCTAATAACACTCCCTCAGAAGCCAGGGCCTTGCAGGACCAGGCCAAAAGGTGCATTTAAGCCCGCATCTGGTCCTCAGGAAGAGCTGGACAGGTGCTTCAGTGATGCTTTGCAATTTGGGCCCCCTTGGACTCATTTGGCAGGAGACTCCTTTCCGTGCTTGGAGAAAGTGGATGGGGAGAAGCTGTTCTCCCTCTCTCAAAATACAGCGGTACCTCTGGTTATGGACTTAATGCGTTCCGGAGGTCCGTTCTTAACCTGAGGTACCACTTTAGCTAATGGAGCCTCCTGCTGCCTCTGTGTGATTTCTGTTCTCATCCTGAAGTTAAGTTCTTAACCCCAGGTACTACTTCCGGGTTAGCGGAGTCTGTAACCTGAAGTGTTTGTAACCTGAGGTGTTTGTAACCCGAGGTACCACTGTACTAAACTCAGGGACATCTGCGGAAGCTAAATGTTGGGAGATTCAGGACAGACCAAAGGAAATCTGCCCTCCACGCGCTGTGCAGAGCTGAATTATGGAGTTCCCTCTTCCAGGAGGCAGTAGCAATGGCCCCCAGCTTGGAAAACTTGGAAAGAGGATCGGATCACTTCCCAGAGGAGCAGACCAGCCGTGGCTATCAGCCGCAAGGGTGGCTGAGCTCCTCCTTCCTCCACCATTGTGCCTCTGAATAATACCAGTTGCTGGGATCACACAGCTGTTGTGCTCATGTCCCAGGAAAATCGGAAGCTGCCTTATCCTGACTCAGACTGTTGGTCCATCTAGCCTAGTAATGTCTACACGGACAGGCAGTAGTCCTCCAGGATTCCAGGTCAGGGACTCTCCCAGCCCTGCCTGGAGGTGCCAAGGATTGTGCTGCTTCCAGGTTTCCCATGGGGGAATCTGGTTCTTCACTGTGGGAAGAGGATGCTGGACTAGCTGTGCCTCCTTTGGGCCTGATCCTGTTGGGCTTCCCCCAGGGAATGTGGTTGGCCACTATAAGAAGAGTGTGCTCGACTAGATGAGCCCGCTTTGTCCTGAACAGCAGCAGGGCTATTCTTACATTCGTAGCATGAGGGTCAGTAGCTGATGTTGGTCTTCTCAGACTCCAATGCCCATCCTTCCCGACCCATTAGCCAGACTGGCCGTGGCTGATGGGAACTGGAGTCCAGCAACATACAGAATGGACCACCTTAGCTACCCCTGTCGGACGTGAATCACTTCCAAGGACTGTTGCAGAATCAAGATGGGGGTGAGAAGGCCACTTTAGCCATCATGGCTACAGGCAGCAGAGGATAAACACAAAGGATGTTAGCAGAGCAGGTGGGCTTGCAAAGGATTGCATCCCTTGAAGTCGTAAAAGTGTAAGGAGAGCCTGGCTGCTGGATCAGGCCCATAGCCCACCTCGTCCAGCATCCTGTTCCCACAGTGGCCAACCAGGTGCCTGTGTGTGAAACCTGAAATCAGGATTCGAGCACCAGAGCAACTCTCTGCCTCCAGTGTTTTCCAGCAACTGGTATTTGGAAACATTTCTGCAAAGCCTCCTCTGTGAATTGGCTCGTCCTCTTTCCAAGCCACCCAGGTGACGGTCACTGCCTCCTGTGGTCCCGCTGCCCCAGGTGGGTCATTCGCAGAGTTGGGCTGGCTTTGCCTCTTCCTTGCTCCGCCGTGACTTTTGACTTTTTCAATGTCCGCGCTGCAACATCCACGTGGAAGCAGGGCAGCCCCAGCAAAGGGGCCCATTGTGTCCGCTGAGTCCAGATACCATCACGCTTCGGACAGCGGCGTTGGAGTCTTGCTAGACAATGGGCCCCTTCAGGCAACCCAGCCCCACGAGAAGCTGCTGCTGCGGCTGCAGAGTCATTGCTGTGTGTGTTGTGGGGGGCGGGATCTGCTGTCATCTGGGTCCTCCAGAGAGGGCACACTTTGTCTTAGTTGCCGTCTGGGACCATCTTAATAAACTGACTTGCAAGTTATCACTGTGGGTCCCTCCCTCAGTCCGGCTGGTTTGTAGAAATCGCAGGGAGGGGAGACTAGTGTCGCTGTTAAACTCCAGTTCTGTTTTTGTGGACTTTCCCTTAAGACAGCTGGTTGGCCCCTGGGAGGACTGGACTGGATGAGTCCCCTTTGTCCTGACCCAGCCGCCAGCCTTTTCTGATGTTCTTATATTGACTTCTGCTGGCAGGACGTAGTCTGGGCTTTATTGCTTTATTGCTTTAGTGCTTAGTCTTTGTTTAGGTCTGGAGGTCGTTTTTGTGGGGGTTGTTGTCACACCCTGTTGTGAGTTTGGTGTTCACCGCAGGGTGCTGAAATAGGGGGGCCTTTGATCTGAGCCAGCAGGCCTCCTTTTAAGTTAGGGCTTTTGTTCAAAATGTTTCACACAATGCACCCAAATTCTCCAAAACGACATCTTTAGGCCGGTTCGTTTTTACAACAACCTTGTCGGGGTGCGGCAAAGTTATCACCCCCATATTACAGAAAAGGACAAAAGCAGGCAGAGGCAGGATTCAAAGTACGAGCATCCTGGTTCACAGCTCACACCCTTAACTGCCTTTCCCTCAAATAATTTGTGGTCTTCAAGCTTTTTAATTGTGCTTTCCCAAATGCTGTCCTGCCCTTCTAAAGACAAGTTGTTTCAGCTTCTCGCACACCCCTGACAACTTGGGGCGACCACTCTCAGTCTCTTCTGCCTCTCTCTAATCTGCCCTTTGGGACTCTGCAGGCCACATGTGCCCCCTCGCTAGCCCCAAATATTTTTGTCCGGCTGGGATGTGTCCTTGGGCCCTGATCACGGATGGAGGATGCAGAGGGAGGGATGCCAGAAGGTGTACAAGGAAACTAGCCTCCTGTACAAGGGGGACATTC